AGTAGTAGTAGTAGTAGTAGTAGTAGTAGTAGTAGTAGTAGTAGTAGGAGTAGTAGAAGTAGGTAGCAGGTAGTAGGCAGTAGGCAGTAGTAGTAGTTGTTGTTGTTGTTGTAGCAGTAGCAGTAGCAGTAGATTCGCAGTAGTTGTCGCAGTAGTAGTAGTAGTAGTTGTTGTTGTTGTTACTGACTTACTTTACTTGGCAGCCACTGGCACGTTTACATTGCAATGCCAGGAAAGATGCACTTGCAAGCAGGACATCTGCAGTAGCAACTACTTCATAGGTGAGCAGCAGCACTGCCAGAATTTGCGCAAGTGAAAGCATGGCAATTGCAAGTTTACAAATAGCCGATCTGAAGCGCCAGATCGAGAAGTGCAACTGTAGATAAGTCATCGTCTATACAGTACATATCTTTATTTGTAAGCTTCCTGTTTTATCGTGCGCCAGTTTCTTTTGTAGTTATCTTTACTTGGTAGCTTCCTGATCTTTACTTGCAAGCTTCCCAAGTGGTGTGCTGCATAGTCCAGAACTGTCCAACCAATGGTTGACCCCCCAACATCTAGAAACATTGCTTAATTAAGTCAGGCACTGTAGACTTCCACCCTCGTTACATCATGTTTCTAAAGAAAGGAGAAATTAGGTAGGCGAAGCTACCTTTCCTGGCATGCTGCCAGGTTGCCAATATCTATAACTATTGGCTGCCGACAACAGCACATGATTCTTGAATCAACAATCACGTTTAACCGCAGTTCTTGCATGAAACGCTTCAACAACACGTGGCAACATGCCATGCAAAAAGCATGGCCTATGCATTAGCTAGGGGACCAGTCGCTATACCCTGGAATATGTGTTATTATTCCAGACCCCTTTGACATAAATGTTAAATAACTATTCCAGACGTGGATTAATTGTTGGAATAATGTTTCACTGGATGCACCCAAAAGTGTACGACACAGATTGGATTTTGAGCAAGCTCTGTGATGCGAGTGTTTTTGCTTCATGTTTTTTGGCATCTACAGGATCTTGACTTGACAGGAGGTTCAAATATATTTTAAGCTTCCGTAAAACAGAGGGTCACTGTACAGTTTCTTTCAATATGTTTTCGAGCGAGGTTTGTAAGCATAGTTTTTTGATGGTGACTTTTCTGGATCTACATGATCTTGACTTGACAGAGGTTTAGATAAATTTCCAGCTTTCCCAAACAGAGGCCCACTGCACAGGATTGAGTATTCCAAAGTGCTTTGACATCTGGACCAACTTGTTGGATCTTTTTCGCCTTTCCGGTGGAATATACAACTATTTAGTGCATCGGCCATCAAAAAGCAATGTTTATACAAACAGAGTCACATGACACCACCACAACAGCCTTGCATTGATCGTTGATGCAAACCAAGTAGCTGCAGCTTGGTGTTCATTTTGAAAAAGTTGCGCGGGATTTCTGCAACGCACGGAAAGCATGGTCAATTGGCTGTGTTCAGACTTGCATAGCTGGTACAATGCTGTTGGATTTCTAATCAACTCAGTTCCTTCCACCAAAAGACACATTCACACCTGGGACTGCTCCGTTTGCAAGGCCAAGCTCCACCAATTCCTGAGAAAGGGCACCAGACATTATGCGGCCGTCACAATCCTGTAACATATAATCCAATCTAAACAGGACCATCACTTTTCTTCTCATTTCTCTTCCAGCGCTTTAGATACTTAGTAGCAATTGAACGCGAGGAGATACGGCCTTAAAAACTGCGCGGGCATCCACAGAACTTTCATAGGCATGTGCCCTAATCCAAAACTATTCTCAATGGACCACTTCCATTGCTATCCTCTCAGTCAATGAGCCTTTCTACTTCACAGCCCGCGCTGTCGTCTCCGCAAAACAAGACCATTGGATATCGGTGGACCGAATCTATAATTTGAGGCAAGACTGCGCATCTTGTTTCAGCAAGGCTCTGTAAGCGGATACAAGATGTCGTCATCGATTTGGCTCAAATTCCAGTTGCCATCCAAAAGCAAAGAGACGAGCGAGTCGAGTTTGTTGAAAGCCCCAGACTGGCCAAGGACCGATATGAAGTGGTAGACCCCCAATCTTGTGGATTCAAAGGAAGTGGAAAAACATGTGGAACCATTTGTGAAACATCAAATGCTAATTTTTTCCTTGAAATGGCCCGAATGGGTCCGTCTCAGGTCGATGGTCGGGCTAAACAACAATCATACGAAGGCTCCACAGGTACTCATTGGCAGATTTATGACTCTATAAGAGAGTTCTCTCTGCACTCTGTGCAACTCACGAGAACACTGTCTCAAAGCGGTCGAGGAGCCTACTCTTGCTCAACTTTGTCACCCCCACCTAGCACTAGTCACTAGTCTTGTCAAACCTGTCCCTAGAAAACAAGAGAACAAACAATAAACACATCCCCTGTGGAATTACCGGTGTACCTTGGGATTTGGCTCCGAGGGCAGTTTGCCCCACTATAGAATCAAATCTAAACCTGCAGTGCAGGAAACCTGTTCTCTATAGAATCAAGTGCCTCAGGGTATGGGTGTTCATCATCATGAAAAAGTGATCGCACAAAATGCGAAAATCAATCATACAAAGCCAAGGTTGGTTTTGTTTCGATAATGAAGTGTGGGGACATATGAAGGTTGAAATTGATTATCGAAAAATATTTGACAAATGTGTCCCAAGAGGTTGGTTTTGATCCTATGGAGAAGTGTGGGGACAGATGAAGGCTGAACATGATTACAGTATATCAAGAATGCTGGATGAAAGTGGCCCAACAGGTTGGTTTTGCTTTATAGACCTGACCTCACAGCACACCATCCACTCTAAAATCAATTCTCAACCTTCTATTACTCAAAATGTTTTCAATACTATAAAATGAAATACCCACCTACCTGACGTCACACCACACCATCCACTCTAAAATAAATTCTCAACCTTCTACGACCGGAGACGCTTTCTATAGAATCAAATGTTAGGACCTCTACAAAATCTGGCGACATGGCATGCCCTCCCTATAGAATCAAGTGTTGGAACCCCTTTTGAGGCCACAAACTGTTTTTTTTGGACCCCATGTTTAAAGTGTGATGGTTTTTCAGATAGGTTGATATTTGATTCTGTAAGAAGATTGTCTACAAAATCTATTTGAGCTCAAGCTCCCAGATTCTATAGAGGATATTCGGCAGAGGATATAAACACTGTGTTCTTCTTGAGCATACAGTACAGTATACAGGTGCTCAAACGCTCTGCTCAAAAAAGGGCCAGTCCAAATCTGCCCAACCTTGATCTTGGTGATCTGATTGCTTGCAAGGTCAAGGCCTCAGATTGATCTGCTGTCTTGGTGCTTCGACGAAGCAGTAAGGTCCAATCACCAAATATGCATGGAAAACTTTAAAATGTGAGGTCCAAAAAAGAATGTGATTATCGAAGCTGAGAAACCTAAGAGGTTCTTTGCGTTGACAAAAACGTTTTGTGGGATCTTGGTAATCTCATTGGCGCTGAGATCAAGGATCTCGACCGATGAAGGCATCTTCCTCATCAAGGCCTTCAAGAGTTCAAAACATGTGCACATGAACCCCAAACAAACGCGATCTACCGTACTGTGATGAAAACCTCTGACGCGATCAACATGGTGATCGTTTAGTTAAATTGCGTTTAATTCCTGTTTTGTTATTTTCCGAATGTGTCAGCCAGTAGTCGGCTGTTGGAAATATCCCTTGCCACGGACTGATCCCCTCCTTGAAATCGTCATCGTTCAAGCCAAGTCCTTGACAACTGACGATCTTGACCTAGCCCGACATAGCCAGGAGAATGAAAAAAACTCGACTGCAAGCACACAAACAATGCATTGCTCTCATTGCTCTGACTAGAAGAAAGCGTTTCTGAGACTCGTTTGGGCTGAGGTTTGCTGCCTCTCTCTTTTGGGTAAAGAAGAATAAGAAGCAACACTTATACATATATATAGAGAGATTAGATAGCTCGCACGAGCAAGATTCAGTGAAGGTTCAATGAAGTTACTGCATTAAACCTTGGCTGGTGAACACCATGGCGAAGGGTCAAACAACAGAAAAGTTTGAGTACACGCGCGCGCACTGAAACTGGAGTCGCACCGCAACTTGGCAGGTACGTCGCCGGGATCAGCCATGATATCCGCATGTACTCTGGCCGCTTCGTTGGACCATCGCTCACAACACATTGATGGTCTTTTGCGGGATTGAAACTTCAACAACATGGTGTTGCGTATCCCGCGTTGTTTCACATCACACCGATCTAAGATCCCTGCCCTCTCGATGACATTGTCACGGCACTTGCAAATGTCACAAACGCCTTTGCCAGAGTTCAGCATTTTTGCTGCACCTGGACATGAGGTTGACAATCAAACTGTCTTGCAGTGAAGAATCCAGCGGCGACATACAGCCGTGAAAATTGCACCATAACTTTGATGTGGGTCCCCCTGCGACTTATTACTACTTATTACACTGGACGAAGACTTTCTGCTATAAAGAACTCACCATCTTCTCGACCTGGATGTCGGATCAGGTCGAGTCGTGACAACCACAAGTTTTCAAAGCTGCAGCTATCAATGGCCAAAGGGCCAAGTTCTCCGTGTTGCTCCGAGCGTGTGGAGTTGAACGCGTGGGTCACACATTGCAAAAAATACAAAGCAAGGTCAACACATACTGTAAACCTGCTGATATTGAAGGGTCTTGGCAAAAATGACAAAAACTTTGGTGGTTACAGATTTTGGACCTGAGCCTTCCTGAACCCCGCAACAAATCCATGTGGTGGCAGTGAACCCTTAAGCGCCAGTCAAATGAGATGGTTTCAGTGTTTTGGACCAAGCAAACCAAGCAGCTTCCTGTCTGCAACAGCGACGTTGTTGAGCCTGAGGTCAGCTGCTGATTGGGCCCCACAGGCGCAGAACCACCGATGCTGGACCGTGTTCTAAGACGCATCATGTCATGGGTCCCAGCACATCAATCCACGTACTTCAGGCACCTTATCTTGCCGTTGTCGTCTTTACGCTGGTTCTCGTGAATTTGCGTGCTATGCCATGGTATGCCATGGCACTGTATGCGCCAAAAGTGTCATAAATGATCTGCCGCATGTCCTTCCCGTCCCAGTCCGGGATAGGGTAGTTCCGGCAAATGTACATTGGGTCCACGACATAAGCCTCAGTTCGAATGCCAATGTTCTTCAACCCTCCCCCAAATCAATCACCTATCTGCAGCTTCATTGCGTCATCAAATAGGAGAGACTATATATTCAACAGCAAAGGAGTGTCCAGAATGGAAGGCTGCAAGGTGGATCTTACCGTATAATATATGTTTGGGGCGCGTGAACTTTCATGGTTGTTTGTCCCAAGTGCCCAATTGAGGTTCTGGTGGTTGCTCTTGTTGCTGCCACTGCTCTCTTGTTGCAGATTGTGGGAAGCAAAAACACAACGAAGTAATTAATATAGATAAATATGTGTATAAAGTATATATTGGTGTGTGTATGAACATATATATATATATAATAGTCCTGGAGTAGATAGAAAGTACTCATTTTCAACAATAAATTGGGTCAAGGCCAACACATAGATAGAATACGGGTGTGATTGTATTCGAAACATATGATCTCAATCTCTGAGTCCCATGAGAACGGGCCGCCCTGCAGACTCGCCTTCCCCCCTTTTCCTTCCCCCTTGTTCTGCCCATGGTTTCCTGCACAATGTCCTTAAGATGTGGTCGGTTGCAAGAGAAACAAGAAGATAGAGTATAACGAAGAGGAAAGCAAGAAGGAGGAAATGGAACTGGAGATGGAAAAGTGAAAGAATCAGAAAAAGGAAGAAGAGAAAAGAGGGCACCAGCTAAATTGACAACATCCTGGAGTAGATATATGTGTGGGCCCAATATTCTGTCTATGGGTCATTCTTTCATGTTTAGTCTTCGTGTCCCAAGACCTGATTTCTTCGAAAGAGAATTACCCTCTACCAATTCCGGATTCTATCTACTCCAGGATGATTGTATATACAAATATGTGTACATATATATACAAATATACTGTATATATATTATAAACATATATATATTATAAACATGTATATATATATATATCACGACGGGTTCACTTTAGACACTGGGACATTGGCCGCCTCCCAGCCTTTGCGAAGTGCTCCATCTCAAGGGTTTCATCTGGTCTGCCAAAAGCTGTACACGAGTCATCACATCAGGCATGGTGGTTTGCAGCCACCAGCTGTAGGCAAAGCTACAGTAAATACTTATATGCATGACCGTTGTCATCTCGCGCCACAACGTTCTTCGGGACGTAGCTGTTCAAAGACGACCAGGCCTGACCAATGAGCCCGGGGTTCACCTCCACTTCACCTGCACTTCGCCGGCCTCACGGTTCCTATCACCAGCGCTGTGCACACAGAAGCGACGCCGCAACGACGTTGCTTTGCGGGCTTCGGCCAGCACCGCGCTCCATCGGTCGAGAGCAAAGAAGGCACCATTTCGCCCTTCGTCACATGGCCCACGATGTGTTCCAGGCCGCCAGCGGAGGAAACATCAGCCCGGCCACAACAACAAAGACCACCACCACAACAAAAGCAACAACAAAACGCCTATGCCAGAATAGGCAGAAACCCGCCTCACCTAGGGTTTTTGGTCGCGCTTTGCTGTGTGAGGTCTTGGGGCCCTTTCATTTTATCCAAGCGCCTTGCTACCACACAATCCAATCTCTCACACACACTGCTAAGCACCCTTCCCACACTTGGCCACAAAGGCTGAAATCCTCCCACCTTGAGTTTTGGAGATGTCTAGCTCTTTAACATCTTGAAGGGCTAAATATGGATTGTATGGCTTCGTTAAAAAAATAGGCACCCAACATCTGAGTAGTTTTTGCGAGGTCCTTTATCTAGTATTTACTCCTAACTCCTAAGTGCTTGACGCCTCGACGAACGCAGGGATAGTGCAAGTTGCCTCAGACCATCTCAGACCTCCTAGTAAATCCTGCCAGCGGCTAAACGGGCGCCTGTCCTTACGAAAAAGTTTAGCCAACAGGGGCGCAAGCCGTCCTGTTCTTCAACCCTCTGTCCGACAGCACCTTCTTGCGCCAGGAAGAAAGAGAAAAGGTTCTGTAGGCCTGCGGCACGAGCCAACCCAAGCACTCTGCATGAATCGAAGAGGTCAAGTAAAAAGAACAAGCGGATGCACTCCACAAGCACTGGCAGCGGACATGTGTACTTCGCCTTGGGAAACACAGCAAATCAGCAAAGTTGCAGCAAGGATACCTCAGATCGCGCTTGCACGGTGGCTGGCGCTTGCACGGTAGCAAACGCAGCACGGCGGCCGCAAGGAGGAGTGCGCAGCACTGGCGCCATTGACTCTCCCTCTGTCTACGCCAAACCGGCAGGCAAACTTGTAGCACTGCGCGTGAAAGACAATGATCATTTGACGCATTCTCCAAGAGCACCACGATGAAGCACACTAGTCCAAGCTTGTTTGAAAAACGGCGAAGGTAATTTCTACCGCTTGCAATATGCCACAGCGCGAAGATCTGAATCGCCAGCCAGGACATGGAGGAAACATCGATGATGATATGAAACAAGTCTCAAACACAGCCACAATGTGGACTGAAAATGAACGAACCTTTTATTGAACCCACCAATTCCCACCTGCATGCGTCATCCAGTTTAAACGGACCCCAGGACCACACTTGCGCCACTCCCTGTTGAATTGCGAAGGCCACGCTCATTTGCGGAAGCGCGCAGCCAGCCAATCGCAACGGCAACACAAGCCCAAGAAACTCCAGCGTGGAGTTTTCACGAGTGGACGGCGTGGCCCGCGCAAGATACAATCAGGCTTGCGTCATCTGTGTCGCAAATGGCTATATACATACGCATATAGGTACCATGGTCAGGTCCTGACACGAACACGAACATACATGTGTCCGTATCTAACATGAATGCATGGGGGCTGCCCAATGCAAACTGTTCCAACCCACCTCAAGATATTTTATAAGTATTGCTAGGTTGTAGTACCCACATCGCTCCTAATCATTTGGGCGGCAGGGCGGTAGGACAACTCAGAAATTACTTAAGCCAGTCACCGACATGTTAAGGTAGGGTGGCCCGTAATAACCGCCCACCTAGGTGGGTAGATATATGGTTAAAGTTTGGGGTAATAACACAAGCATATGAGTGCACATTGCCACACAGAGCCGCATGCGGAAACCAATTCCATGGTCCACAACCAGTATGTTCTTGTAACCACAAACACACACGGCATATTGAGAGCTAAGCTTAATTACAGTAGCCATACGCACAGCCACAACTGCGTAGGCCACCCCATCTTTAATCACACGACCAGGCGATGACAATGTTGCGGCGTCGGTGATACTGTTGTGACATCGACGACAATGTTGCGACATCGATGAGAATGTTGCGACACCGATCACAATGTTGACGAACCCTCCAACATACATATGCCTTGCGCGCGTCGTACTTTCACTGTGGTTCAACTAAAACAGAAAATGTGCGCGACAGGGGCGCGCCCCTACCGCACATAAATGTCCTTGGTGACCAGGTTAGCTGGCAAATACCATGCGAGTATGCGCAGCGGCCAAGTGAATTGGGTTCTTAAACACCCACATGCAAGTATATATAAATAAATAAGTAAATATATAAATATATACGAGCTTTTTCCTCTCAATCCAAAAGCGGGCTGCGGGTGAAAAGCATGATACAATACACCTATGATCTACACTGCAAACTCTTCACACTCCTTCTGGGTAGAATGAGCGTTGCTTTTCTTCTGCTAGCTCACTCTACCGCTACTCTACCTCTACTCTGCTTCTACTCATCACCATCTAGCGGCAACTCAAATTCGAATCTTTCACCATTAACTGCGTCTGCTTGAGCAAATTGTCCTCGGTATATCAATACTTCGCGTTGTCTCTTCAAGTCTACCACGTAGTACTTCTCCCTGTTCCTCCTCATACTCCATACTATTCACGTATTCTAGGTTTCCACCTCTGAATCATGATGACCTGGTCCATCGGAAGGAACTGCTCCATGAGTCGCTGCCTCTAGTAGTACTTCATGTCCACTATATTATATCGTCCTCTTGTAGCTCTCAAATGTTCTAAACTCCTTCTTGAAGTAGTTTGCTACCTTTGTTTCAGATCATTTCATACGCTGGTCTCTGCCATGATGCTGGTTCTTCATCCTCCACGAAACTTCCATTGAGAATCAGTCCATAGTCACAATCTCTGAGTCTATCGAGTTGATTTTCATCCTCATCTCTCCTGTGAAGGTTGTACTCAAGCTCTATCATCCTGACCTCTAGGCTCTAGTTCATTCACATTGCCCGCAGGGAAATTTCTTTGCGCTTCAATCTTTGTCACATATTTCCAAAACACCCACATCGCTAAAGTCATTGCTGCAAAACCGAAGATAATGATCATGAAAATCGTAATTTTCCATGGAATTTTCTACTTCCAACGTGCACGGGTCAGTTCCTCTCATCAAGGTAGTAGCTTCTGTAACCATTGGCTGCAAGCCCTCAAAAGTCACGATTCTGACAATCATCTCGGTTGACCTTGCCTGCGAAGTTCTTTCTCTCTTCATACGCCTTTCTCTCAAGCTCGCCAACTCTTGTTGCGCCAGAAACCAAAAAGGTTCATCAGAAATCTGGTTCTCTGGCCTGCAAGCGGTTTGGCGCTGATGTCTGCCATGTTGTTGTCTGTTGGTACTTGCACCATAGTGAAGTCTTCGATGTTCTGAATCCACAGCAACTTGCCATCTAAACGCCTCACTTTACCAACTCCTCTCTTTGTCACAAGTTGGCGCGCGCTCGAAGAATAAGTGAAGATGTAATGGCCCACCTTTGTCCCAAGCGCAAACTCAAGAACTGCGCGAATATATATATATATATGTATATATATATTATATGTGCGTGTGCCATCTGAGGCTGAGGAAACTATTGCGCTCACCTCTGCCTCACATGAAGATAAGCTAATGCTCTTCTGGGCTCGACTGCCGTTGAATCATGGGCAACTACTCAACGCATGGAATCCTCCCGACGTCGATCTTCTATGGCTTTTGTTGCTGGGTCTGAGAACGTGTCTAGACACCAATAGCACACACCTTTCTTCACATATACAAGTAGTTCCCGGGCAAGCCGGCGG